CCTGCTGACATAATGGAAGTTCACAGTTGTTATGAAAAGAAAATCCATTCTTGTTTACATAAACTAGACTGTTTCTTTCATACCTACACTCTGAAATTATTGAAGTTTAAATAGAATTTCAAAAGTGTATACAGACAGCATTTTTATAGTAATAATTCCAAAGTAATCTTTACAGTTTGGTTTATTTTTTCTAATGAAATTAATTCAGTTCACTCATTATCTAACACTTATGGTTTCAAAGTTTGTTAACTTGGGGGCCAGCAGGTGGGACAGTGGTTAAGGTGTTGGATTCCCACATGGCTGACCATGGTTTGAGTCCTGGACCTGACAGCTTCCTTTCTCACTTTTCCTTTCTCTCTCTCTGTCTCTCTCTGGTCAAATTAATAATAATAATAACAAATAAAATAAAATAAATAATTATTGAAAAGAAAAAAATGTTTTTTAAACTCATGAAGAATAAACAAGTCGGTTATTGCCAACTTTGTCTTCAGTTATTTTTACCCATGACAAAAGTGAGAGCACTATTTTGAGATTCTTTGCCAGTCATAGCTCTCTTCTGTAGAGAGCGAACTGAGAGAGGAACGAAGCTGGTCACATGGGCGTGACCAAGGGAAGATGAGGAGTAACTGGCATAATCCAGAGCTCACTAAATCCATGAGATCTTCAACACTACTATCGTATGAACTCAAAATAATACAAGGATGGTTGGTTGTTTGTTTATTGCTGTAGAGCACATGTATTCACCAGAGGGAGACACAGAGAGAGGGGCAGCTGGATCCCACATGGCCGACCACAGGGTTTGAGTCATGGAAACAGGAGGCTTAAAAAACACTCTGGGTGTGCATGCATGTTTGTGTGCTCATCCCCCAGGGGTACTTTCTCACATACAGTGCCCTGCTCCTCTGGTAAGAGCAAATACCTTCTGGCAAATTAAAAAAAAAAAGTAGTAACTATCTGGGTTAAAAGTTATACAGGAACCTAGCATATGGAATAGACTTCTTTAAACATTTATAGGTTGCTTTTAGGCAAGGAAATACTATTGTATAATAATTGAAAACTATGAATAATGGGGCCAGGAGGTGGAGTGGTGATTGAGGTGTTGAACTCCCACATGGCTGACCA